CATCCGCAGTCCCTTACCGCGTTACTATACTTACTATAGTTACTATAGTTACTATAGTTACTGCCCCAGCTACTAAACTGTAATGGAAACGCAGCATAAAGTGAGCCTGGCCTAACAAAGCCTAACTATACCGTACTAAGCCGAGTGAGGCCCTGCAATGGAAATGCGCCATAGTGTGTTTCGCTCCGCTCACCGGTCCGTCACAGCGGGTGGAGCTGCAGGATTTCTGCTTCACACACGTTGCATACAATTTCATTTTGGACGCCTACGTCTATTTAGCTTTAACTTTTTTTAACATCTGTAGCGAGGTATGGCTGATTCACAATTTCAAATGACTGTAAATGTAACCAACACTTTCAGACAGATTAATGTAACTTTACACAGTGGTTGGCACATGGGATTTTTTCATTGGATTTTGGAATATTGCAACAACAACAAAAAAGCTCTGTGTTAAACAAACGTTTGGATATTTACATGTTTTGTTCAGCAGGATAATCTCCACATATTGACACCACACAATTGTGAGTAAATATATTGGTCAGAAGTCAAAAGTTAACTTTAGGCCATAACTGACTACATGACGGTCACATGACTTCATGTCACCACGGCTAAGTGGTTCAAAGTCCTGAATCCTTCGTGACTCCCTGTGGAAATGTGGAATCCTAAAGCTGATTTCTTAGAATGTGTGGCATGTTTGCTAGGGGTAAAATTTATAGAATTTTTTTTAAAAGATCAGGTCGTTTTAACCTAAGTTAGAATGAATAACCCAAAAAAGTACTTGATTCAACGTTATGCGGACATTTTAACACAGCTGTATCAACATGGTGCTTCACCTGAAGTATGGCTCCACACATTTTTATTTTTATTTATGACTACTGCTAGTTACATCTGAATCTTAAGTCTAGCTAGTACTCAAATGATCACTTAAGTAATCAATTAGGATACCAGTACATTGATGATCGACAATGGATAATCAATCCACAGTTTAATGCTTTATCAAAAAAAGTGATAATGTGCGTTTTGATCTGTTTTATATCACAGTTAACTGAATATCTTCAGTTTTGGACCGTAAGACGTCACTCAGAGCTAAGGTAAACATTGATTGAAATGTTTCCATACTTTCTGACACCTTGTGCTATATACTGAAAAAATATTGATAAATCAATAAACATAAGCCATATTGGACAATACTAATGTGCTGTCACTCAGCAAGTCCAGCATCCAGTGATGGTATCAAGGTGGGGGTTTTGCAATAACCTTGACATTGAAATGCATTATTGATATCAATAATACCCATATGATAATATTATGCATATGGTCCAGCGACTTTAAAATCTCACTATCAATTAATGTTAGTATTCCTTTGTACATTTTTGTACCCTCGTATTTTGAATGTAACTAATTTGTCTATTAAAAAAAACACGTTAAACAAAGTTAAACATATATTTGACTGTTAACACAATGTTTCCCCTCAATTCTAATTGAGTTATAGGTTATAACCATAGGGGTTGAGCCAGCCCCATGTATCGAGCAGCAGACAGGCGACTCTGGTGTGTTTGAGTGTGTTCTAATCCTTTAATGTGCCAGTTCACCAACAGGCCACTCTTGATTCATTAGAGTTAAAGCTGGTTACCTCTACATGAGCTCCAAGAGAAGAGCAGGTTGAAAGCAGTTATTTTGGGACTGAACGCCTCCACACACACCACTGAACACACATTTCTGTCCTTCATTCAGCAAAGCTATAGGCAGGACTCCAAACACACTCTGAATGAGATCAATTAGTGCATATATGAGTCAATTCTTTGAGTAAAATGTATTTCCTGGTTGCTACTGTATATGTAAACACTGTCCACCCTGCACCACAGTCCATCCGACTCTTCTTATCAGGAACAAGATATCTCAACAATTACTGGCCAGTTGCCATGACAATTGGTACAGATATTCATGGTCCCCTGAGGAGGATCCTTAATAACGCCACAGTCTGTCACCTTCAACCACCTGGCCACAAATTCCACTTGAGGTATAATTTCTAAGGATTGGGGTGACTCTGAACAGGAACAGCTCTTAAAAATGTATATCAGCTGATTGCCAAATGTATAGATCACAGAAAGTTTGAATTTGGTTTAAAGATAACATCCTGCAGATTAGAATACAATGCAATACACAATGTCAATAATTCATTAGAATTGAGTGTTGCAGGATTGACTCCTAAAAAACAAAACATTTATCAGCATTTTTTCACTTATGGTTCCGTTCGAATGCAATGTTTTTCTTCAACTTATTTGTTCAGCTGTCTGGTCTGGTCTGTGGTTAACAAAGAGATGTTGTTTTCTCTACAACATCAAATATAGTTAATAACCTACTCATGAATTAGCAACGCTTCAATCTGTCATAAAAATGGTTGCTACGAGTGACCTAATGAGGCTACTAAACATCATCACACCAAACATTAGCCACCTTTAGCTTAGCAGTTGTGAAGTGAAGTCATGTGACCGTGATGTAGTTTTTATATAGCCCAACATTTTTGACTTCTTGCGATTGCATTACTGTAAACTTCAATAATTATAGAAGTGGCATTCTTATGTGGAGATTATCACATCCTTAACAAAACATGTAAGTATCATAAATGTGTTTGCCAAATATCTTATTTTCTGTCATATTCCAAAATTCAATGAAAAAATCCCATAGCTTTTTGTTGAGGGAGTCCTTGCGATTCTAACTTTGTCGTCCGACAAAGATACATCAACACTGTACCATTTTAATCAACAATATATGCCAAACTACTTCACCTTTAAATAAAAACAATGGTTAACGTATGATTTTTAAAATAAAAAATTACTCTAAATTGAAATTGTATTGATCCAGAGGTGAAATACTGCCTCCTATTTCAGGTGCAGAGCCTTCGGAGCAGGTGACTCGGAACTCCAACTTGCATCTTTAAGTTTCAGTCTTGCACCTTAAAGGGAAAAACTTTGGGCAATCATGCTAAATCCACATCCAAACACACACAATATGTCATAATGTGTGTAATGTCAATGTCATTATTAATAATGCATGATGATTTATCAAATTAAAACCATTATGTGAATTATGTTATTTATTTTTTCGTACTTTGGTGTCATCCAGTGGCAGTATCAAGAGTACTATTGAGGTGTTCTATTTTGCAGCAGAAGCAATGGCTTAAGACAAGACAAAGAAATTAGTCCTTTGTATGGTTCCAAAATGCTGTGTCATATGCCTCCCATAATGCACCACAATAACATCATTTGTGTTTTTGTCCCAGCAATGTGAATGTCTCACCCCCGGTTGTGCATTCTCTGTTATGAATTTGCGGTCGGAAGCTTGGATAACACTGATGACGTATTTTGTGTTATTATAATTATTTATTTACTTGCCAAAGCTCCAAAGAACACGTTACATTACACTGTTGGAGTAAACTGGGCCTTATGAGAGATATTGCTGAGTGTCCCTTTAATACTCCTGTATTTACAGTGAAGGATCTCCATGCTAGGATTATAACTGGGCTAATCAGCAGGCAATCTACATCAGAGCAGGAGAGAGATATCACTCTCTGCTCAACATAACTGAGTGGAAGTGGAGTAGTAAATATTTCATTGGCCTCAGTCACCTCTCATCTGCTCCATTCAGCAGCTGAACTGTATGTAACCCCCCAAAACACCCCAGTGCTTATACAGTGATGCTGCTGTTCCCCGGTAGCACAGAGGCGGAGGATGGAAGAGGCAGAGAGCTTTGAAGGAAGGATGACAAAGAGCTAATCTGTTCACTACTGAGGCATGTTTACTACGGCACTCACTCCATATATCATCTTAACTGAGTCAACGGTTGAGTGTTCATTGAATACCAACATGTTTATAAGTAGGCCTAATACATATACAATGAAAACAAGACCTGTTATTCATTTATTATACATTTAAGGTTGCGAATTTTCCTCTAGGTGAAGGGCAAAGGTACTGCCGGTTTTGAGACTAAACGATGATTCTCATTGTAGACATATTCAAATATATTCCATACAGGAATTCCTGTTTATCCCAAGCTTTATCCCGAGGAGGCTGTTTACTGAAGCGGCCGTTCAGCGGCAGAGGGCGGGAATAAGGGGGTGGGAGGCTGGGTCCTTTGTCCCTCTGCAGCCCCTTCCTCCCCCAGCATGACAGCAGCGCGAACCCCTGCCGGGGCTCTCCCTTGCAAAACATGTGCCCCTGTTTATGTTCAATGTATTGGGATTTATTTCAGAAGTGCAATGTGGATAGTTTAAGAAGGACAAAGGGACGTTTATAAAGACTGGCAAGTTCTTTCTAGAACAAACAGGTCTGTCATAATGACACACACGGCTGCTCTCTGTCACAAGGCACCATAACAGCGGATACTATCAATATTCTTTCTGAGAAACAGCGAGAAATATTGTTTTTTTTAATAAATGATTTATTCGGGTAATCCGGTCCCTTTAGTTAAGTGACAGTGAAGAAAGGGGGAGGCAGAGGTGACGACACTCGGTAACTGGTCCCGGGCGGGATTCGTACCCCGGTCATCAGTACGGATCCAAAACCGGGGATATGCTCTACCAAGTGAGCTATACGACAGGTAATGAATTTCAAAAACGTGGTAGGCAGCTAACGGCCATGCGAAACCCCTCCAAAGACACAAAGCACTTTGTTCGGGCTCTACTTTCCCGACGTAACACCAAGGCGAGGAGGAACACGTTTCTGTGGGAAACACACTCAGGCACCTAGCTTACACCCGCAGCATCCCTGCTAACCTGCGGGAAAAGCACCGAGGTGTCAGGTACTCACTGCAACAACAAACACCGTGCTTAAACCGAGCGCTAAACAACAGCGTTACTACAACACAAACAAGAGAGGGACGCCAGCGCGAGCAGACAGATTAGTAGTAGCAAATCCGAGGCTGACAAGGGGCTCCCGTAGTCTGCTCCACTCAGTCGTAGTAAAGCTCAATGGTTGCTTATTATGCTGGCAGCGACTTACCCGTTTTCCCTGCTCGTCTGCGTTCAGCTCCTCAGAAATAAGTCCACATTGTTGTGTCCCCGCAGCCCTCCGACAGCCCAAACAGCTGAATTTAAAGCACCGTAGGCATCAGTCGGTGTGTAGAAGGGTCTCCCGTGAGTGTGAGTGTGTGAGGATGAAACGCCTTTCCTCCTCTAGGAGCTGCATTGTTGACATTGTCTTGCTGACGTCATGCTGGCCCTCATTCACAACAACGGCCGAGCCCCCCTGCTCTACGGTGATGTGCCCCCCCTCCCGTTATACGGTGATGCAGCCTTCTCCTTTACGGTGATGTAGCCCTGTTTTTTATGGTGATTTAGCCCCCTGCTCTACTATGATGGAGCCCCCTACTCTGCGTCTCTGTAGCCCCCCTGCTCTATGGTGATAAAGCCCCCTGCCCTGACTCCATACTGCTTTACTCTTACACATTTGATCCCCCTGACAGATATGTGTGGGGGTTGGGTTGCACATGATCATTTGAAAAATGTAGCGTGACACTAAACATGAATAGACCTTTTTGTCATCTGGCTCTCATTCATAAAGACACAAACAGAAGGCATGCTCAACCCTTAAAGACACTTTCTGACGTCTCCAAATGATAAAGGGCTGCTAAACTAACTGATTTCAAGACCCAACTGACCATGTTCAAATATGTTTATATATAATGGGCCAGTCTTAGCCTTATATAGCTGTGCAGTGATGACGTATTTTTGTAAATTGACCCTGAAGTAAGCATCTAAAGGGCTCCCTCAACAAAGAGCCAATGGGATTTTTTAATTGGATTTCCAAATATTGGGAGAAAATAATCTCTGTGGCATAAACACGTTTATGATACTTACATGTTTTGTTCAGCAGGATAACCTCAACCTATTGACACAACTTTAATGATTTGTTATTTGTTGTCCAGAAGTAAAAAGCTAATGATACGTTCCTTTTGTTAGCCTAACGTTAGGCTACAAAGGAACTACATCACCCTGCATGGCGGCGTGCAACCACCGCAAGCTAAGTGCAGCTAACGTTCGCCATTTTTATGACATGTGGAAGCTTTGGACGTTCACAAAATTGGAAAATCTCTTAAAATGATATTAACCACATACTTTCTTCCAGGCTAACCGATATCCGGGTGTTAGGACTCATTCCATCACCACGGTATTGGAGAGATAGATTTGAAAGGGACTTCAGGACGGATTTGAACCTGGAACCCCTCAGCAGCGACTGAGCCCCTGCATTGACCACCCCAAAAATCCAATGTTGAGCTGTTTAATAGCAATAAGAAAAAATAAATGTTGTCCATATTGGGATAGTTACTGAACTCACAAGGCATTTACATCATATGAAATCACACTGTTAAACAGAGAAACATTAATGGGATCAAGTCAAGTAATTCCTGTGAATGAAAATCAAATCAAATGTATTCGAAGGTTTGATGTGTGCTGTGTCCAATCCGAACGGGACAGAAGGTACGATACGGTTTCTAATACGGAGTGTAATCCGGAGGGAGCTGGCAGAGCTGCTACATTTTATCAGTTTGCCACAGACAGCCACCTCTTGGGCCTCATTCTGAGCGGCTGGATCCAGATCAGCCCACATTCTCAATGTCAAGATGTTATAAATAGCCAGAACTGATTTGTACAGCTCCTCTGGCAGCTCAGATCAGCTCAGCGGGGGACGTGATGTTCTCAGCCATGGATCCATGGGTAGTCTGAGAGGGAGCAATGACAAAGAAAAGGCAAACATACACCTCGGAGGATACATCCATACAGAAACATGTGTTTGCATTCACAAAATATGAGTTTACATAACACTGTATAATGCTGTGTACACTGCTATATGATAGTCAATGAAGGAATGTAACTAGTACATTTAGTACCTTATTGAAGTAATATATAATTGTACTTTACTTAATTATATCAGAATCAGAATGAAGTGTATTGCCAGGTACGTCAATAAACTTGATTCTGATTAAATGCTACTTTATACCACTACAATTCAGAGGCACATTTTATAGTTTTCACTCTACTACAGTTATCTAACACTCATAACTACTTTTTACATAAAGAACAAACGTAAGGCATATCTGATATGATGCAATACTTTAGGCAACTACTAATCCACCTTGTATTTTATTTAAGTCACTAAAATCGGCTCCACATTGACAAACTAGGATGAAAAATGCTCATGTGTATTTGTTAGCAATAAAACCTGTATATATAACCCATAATAATATAATACTGTGAGTAGAGCCATTTTGAGAGAGAGAGAGGGTGAGCCAGGGAGTGATCTATTTCCATTGACCGTAGTTGCAATCATATAAAGAACTTAATATTGAGGTAACTTTTTATATTTTTGTCTTTTTTTTTTTTAAGAATAAATGGTCATAAAGGTGTGAATCGAATGTATTCTTTGTTTCACCTTTGTTTAAACCTCACAGATTATTTTGGACTACATACAGCCACTATAGTGCCTTCAATTCAACAACAAGTTCTAGCTAGAAGGTGATCCAGATCCAGAAAGCTGTCTGCATCATAACAGAGGGTGATGGGTTCAAAGTCAGTCAGTCCGTGTGTGTGTGTGTAAAACCAAATTAGCACAGAGCATGTCAACTGTTGTTGAAGGTAGTACATGGATCTATAAAAAAATCCTGCATCACTATGGCAACTGAAGCCTCACATTTACATGGATGCAGCTCTGGACTGCAGCTCCATCAGTGATCTTTAGCTGAGGGGTGAGAGGGGCTTTGGGACAAACTGTTTCACCTCATTTGTTTCTCAATTTACCCACAAATCAAAGCAATACTCTCAACATACCCTTGTCCACTTGTACTTCTTAAAATATATGTTTGAGGATGTATATTAAAAAGAGCATGAAAGCATTAATATGTGTCAACATTTCCTGTAAAATGTTGAACAAATGATCTGTGAGATCCTACTAATCAGTTAGAGATTGCACATTAGACCCCTTATGGAATGTATTCAATGCGTTCCTTTATTCTCAGTTTAGTGTTCACAGCTGTCAGTCTGCTGTCCTCTGTAGATAAAGACTCTGAAGGAAGACAGGTGGATTATATCGAGAAAGTATTGAATTAAACTGTGGTTATAAAGCATCTTCAAAGAGGACATATTATGCTCATATCAGCATGTAGTGTCCCTCCTGTGACATGTCTCCATGCTTTAATGTGCTGCAGCACCTCTTTTCACCCTCTGTCTGAAACCAGAGCCCAGTCTGCTCTGATTGGTTAGCTGGCCGGCTCTGTTGTGATTGGTCAACCGCCTAGGGATGTTCCACCCCTTAGCCTATCATGTACAATGTGTTGGAATGGAAATTAATAATTTTGTTGGTCACAAGAAAAAGAATCTGCCTTAAGAAAGATTTGTTAACTTGCAGTAAAATCCATATTTTAAATGATGACAAATGACAAAATCGTACAAACCTTGTTTTTACTTTCTAAAAGCATATATTGCAGTATGTACATTTTTAAAATCACAGGACAAATGTTTTATAAAATAAACTGAGATGAAAAAAATGAACTGTACAGGAACAATCCTTAGGCACCGTCTGAAGAAATGCATTAAAATGACCAATCCATCCCATAGTAACCCACGGTCAGTGAAAGCACCAAGTGACACTCAAACACGTGCTTTCTTTCACCCAAATAAGTGCAGTGCAGAATAATGTTAATATAATTCCGTGAAATATAACTGTGTGTAAAAAGAAAGTTAAACAGACATAGAAATGTGTGTCAGGTTCATTATTCTACACTTATTTCCATTTCAAACAGCCGTTAACAAAGCTCTCCTCTGGCTCCGAGGCACCGCGTCTCTGGAGCAGAAAGCCTTTGGTAAGGCTTGTATTCACAGTCAAATTGGTTTAAAATGATACGGCCCACAATTCCCTTCCTTTTTTCATCAAACACAATACAACGGGTGTGATCAACTGAATATAGAAAAGTAAGAATTTACAAATTGTTACTTTTCTCAAAAAAAATACACCAAAAATAACACTCACTGGCTATAAGGCAAGGCAAGTCCCACCCCCCCCCCACCACCACATGACACCTTTGGGTCCATTTCAGAGTTCATATGGGTGTCCTTGGTCCCAGCATTCCATCACCAACGTGTAATATCAAAATTAACATTCGATTTCATGGTCAGAAGATGTACGGAGGCCCAGACGTGGATGTAGTGGCTTCTTTTGTTTTTGTTTACATTTCATGATCTAAGAAGAACAAAAGTTGCTCATATTTATTTTAAAGTCAAACTGAAAATATTGTAAATGTTTGCTTTGAACATATTATCAAAATACAAACACAAACGTGAAATGTCAAATTTCATATGGCTTGTCATGGTCATAAAACGTACGGAGGCCCAGACATGGACGTAGTGTTTAAAAATGTTGTTTCAATTTCATGATCTAAAAAAACTAAAATATGGAATTTCTTTTAAAGATAAACTGAAATGATTGTAATTGTTTGCTTTGAACATAAGATCAGAATTGTACCTAAAAAAAAAAATGGTGTGCAACTAAATTATTGTAGTGACAACACCTTTGACGTTGGTGTTCTCAAGTTGGAGTGCACTTTCGAAACTGATTTAAAACAAAAAAAATCCCAAAGTGGAAGTCTGTTTGAGCCAGTGTTGGACCCACTGCGTAACCAGTTATCCTTTTGATGCGTTAACGGGCGTCCCTACTGTATGCTCAGTTCATGGAGTGAGTCCTCTCATTGGTCGGCAGCGGAGGCGGGTCCTAGCTGTGCTGCTGGTTCTGGCTCTGGACCAGGCTCAGCTTGCCCCTTAGGGTCTGGCAGTAGGCAGACAGGCTGCTGTTGTCCTCCAGCAGCTTGCCGTGCTCCTGGATGAGGCGAGAGGAGCTCTGCTGCTCCCTCTGCTCCTGCTCCAGCTCCGACATCAGGCTCTCTCTGCACACAGGGAACACTGCGTTACTGACAGGAAATCTGACTGTCACCTTTGGATCATTTCTGGATCACTCTTAACACGTACAGACTGCAGCAGCACAGAGTTCTGCATGAAATATGAAGCGTACAATGTACTCTGTCTTG